TTAAACTTAGTTTCCTGTTTCTTGGTACGTTTTAACAAATCCAAAGCGATTGTGAAACCTATTTTAACAAAATTTCATGACTCCACGCAAATATTCTTCCGAATGGCCATCGATGGTTTCCTCATCCAAGACTGAGTTAGAAGCAAACTAGTGGCTAAAACTGCAGTCACTTCAAAAGAAAGCAAATTACCTCAAGTTTCAGTTTACTAACCTTTTTTTGTCGTTTCGCACCATTCACATCAGTAGCGAATTTTCGTCGTTTACGTTCTTTCTTCAGTTCCGTTGGATCCACTCGCGGAAAGTCAATCTCCATGATTAAACCAATTCTGAAAAAAATTTCAATAAATTTTGAAGCATTTCAAGTGTCCCGCAGAACTTCGATTTCGCGCAAGTTTAAGAGAATACTGCGAGGACTGTATGTGAGATGCAATGATCCACTAAACGTTTACGTAGAGTTAAACTGATACAAAAGCAGCAAAATAATAAAGAGAGGACTGGAGAATGTGCCAGCTGCATCAACTGCAAGAAGGGAATGATAAACTGCGACCGTTAGAAGGCCGAATTGTGACCTTGAAAGAAGTGAACGGTCCAAAGAAATCAAAATGTGGAACGGCCAAAGTCAGAAAGTTAAAGCAATAGGGGTTGGATAAGATTGTTAAAATAATTTGTGGCCGCTGAGATAAGCATGAATAAATAGCAACGCGCACCAGACTAGCCGCTGCGATCATGCGTTTTGTGCAATTCATCCCATCGAACGATTGCCTATTAATGATTTTCACTGCTTTGTACTTTAGTCTATGCAAAAATAGTTCGAAAATTGGAAAATAGTTAAAAGTTTCACGCACCAGCGCATGAAAGCTGAATTCGAAACCTTGAAGGGTGCGTGATAGTTAATAATTTAGAAGCCAAAATTCTCACGAGGCCGTAGGTGATGCTCAGCAGCGAGGGAACGCTGAATTTGAATAGGCAAGCTTGCGCGTGGGCAGGGGGTCATTTCCAAAAAATTTCAGCCTTCTAGACTCCGTGGTTCATGAGATATTGATTTACCCGCAAAAACTTTCACTGGGCCGCATGAGTTACCCGCGGGTAAGGGAAGGCTGAATTTAAATTTGCCGCGTCACCCGTTGGCGGGGAGCACTATACCAAAATTTCAGCCGCCT